TTCTTTCTCTTTCTGTTAATACATATGTGTACTATTTGTAAGCAGTCCAGCTGCAATTGCTTTGGCAATACAAATGTATAATTTTTGTCATGCCAATAAAGCACTCTTAAATTGAAATTGAATTGAGAGAGAGAGAGACAGAGCGAGAGAGAGAGAGAGAGAGAAAATAATAATAGTAATAATAATAATAAAATAACAACAAAAACAATTACATTAAAAATAAATAAATAAATGGATGAAAAAAAATAAAACAGATCACATAACAATAAATATAACAATCTTTCCTACAAAACATGAAAAATTAAACATAAAAAAATGATACAAGAGCACCAAAAAGTGAGCATACTGTACATTCAAAGTTTTAGTTGCCTTTTTGTTCCAGGAGGTAGTTCTTATTCCACCGGTAGTAGACGAAGTCCGTGAAGAAGATGTCATGTGCTCAGTGTTCAGCTCCCAGTGTTTTGTTTTCAACTACAACACTCTCTGTTCTAGATATACATATATTACACCTACAGGGTAAATGATGAATGCACGACGAGTTTAGAGAAGCACTTTAGACAGAGTATTTAGACTGAAATATTAGAATATTTAGAATATTATTCTGCTTTCAGGGAGATGCCTGTGTGCTGCTTACTAGTAAGTGAAGATGATTCACATAAACCCATTCAGCTTCATCGCCAGCGATCCGTGACTCTGGGTCGAGGACCAGAAACTAAGATAAAAGACAAAAAGTGCTCAAGAGAACAAGGTAGAGATTTTATTCCATATGAGCAAGTTAGAGATGCAGGCGTCATTAAAGAAACTACAACTGTTTTTTTTTCTTGCAGTTGAATTGAGAGCTGATTGCAGCAGAGGATCCATCTCTGTTAAACAGGTATGCTAGAATATTATAAATATTATCGAAAATATTCTAATAACATGGAATATAATGAATGTTTAAAGAAGCAAATCTATAAAATAGAGTAATGCATGCTTTAACCACTTGTTAATTTTGTTAACAGTTGGGTGTGAATCCTACGAGTGTGGACAATGTGGTTGTGGGCAAAGGCAATCAGGTACAATGTCATTAAAGTAGCAAACAGCTTTTTGAAAACATCTGAGTGACATACTGTATCTCAATATTTATCATTGGTCTGAACTTTTTATTTAAATCAGGAACAATCATTTTAGTCAGATAGTTATGGTTGTGCAGTAGATTAAAAACGTTTCATTCAAAAGCTAATATACAGTAAAATTCTGGTTAAGAATAATCAAATCAGGATTTTCACATAGTTTGCACTAAATTAACACAAGGATGAATTATAATTATTTATATGCATAGAACCCAGTAATGAAAAGCAATATTTACCTACACATATTTTGTTCAAAAACATTTTAGAGTATGTAGAGCACGCTCTCGTTAACCATCATTTATGTGTTATTCAGCATCTGGCAAACTTACCATGTCCACAAATGTCCTGTTCTCTTGTAATTGAGGCTGTATTGCACAGGTTACTGATCTTAATATCCTACAAACCACATGTTGCCCAACTCTACAATCAGGTGACCATAAAGCCGGGCCAGAGACTTTACATGGTCAATCAGCAGTATCCTTACAGAGTGACTTCACTGAGGACACGTCTACTGCCAGATCTGCTGCAGACTTGAGCAAACCTTCAAAAAGACCCCATCAGATGAGCTCTGAGGGGAATGGAGAGAAGATCAAGAGTCCTGCAAACACAACATCAACACCCCATACAGACCATCACAGAATATCAGGCGATTCACCTCCACCAAAAAAGACACTGCCATCTGAATCAGATAAATCAGTGAGTTTAATTTGGCTCTAGATTGACATATTCATCACTGTATACTTTACGAATCATTGGCATGGACATCTTTACATCATAAGAGGAAATTGCATATGTTCATTGCTAAGGCACTTTTAGGTAAGTTGCTTTCTTATATTTCAAATCTCCAACTTTTTTCTACAAGTAGTTACTGTACTAGATCTCTATCGCACATTCGGTTAAAAGTTTCAAAAGTATACTCAGAATTTGGAAAATGTGCTTTTTCTTTTTATGCCCCCTGGGCTTGGAATGATCTGCAAACTGTAGTTAAAGTGCCCCTATTATGGATTTTTGAAAATTACCTTTCATGCAGTGTGTAACACAGCTCTAAGTGAATGAAAACATCCTGCAAAGTTTTAAATCTGAAAGTGCACCGTGTATAAAGTTATTGTCTCTCAAAAGAAAGTGTCGACTCTGAATCATTGAAATGAGTCGTTTTTAAAACGAATCCCAAGCCGTTTGATGTTGACGTCAACATGAAACATTAGCATACTGCCCGCCCACTTGTTGGTCTTTTCACGTTGGTCTGAATGAAAATGCAAATTCATTCTTTGCCACTAGGTGCAGCTTTTGGAGCGATAAAAATAGCAGTTTCCCCGGTAACGCTGTACACAAAGCAGCACTGCGCTCACAAACGCTGCTTTTTCAGGCATTACAGGCATGATGCAATGAAAATAAGACCAATCGGACCAATCACCGCAGATTAGCGTCACGCAAAGGAGGGGTTTGGAAAAATGAATCGTTAAACGATTCGTTTGGGAGTCGTTGAGCAAGAGGGAGTCGTATAAGACAATGAAAGTGTTGTTTTGACCTTGCATGCATGTCAACCTGTTGTTGGGCACTCCCAAAACCAAAATATTAACCTTTCATTACCCATAATGGGGCAATTTAAACTCGATATACTGCCGTCCCTGAGTACTTTTAAATGTCTTTTGCTTTTGTTTTGATCTTGTTTTTCTTGATCTCACTTTTATTGTTTTGTATGAGTAGTTTTTTTTTTTTTTGTTATCTTTGTGTGAAACTCTATGTGCTGCCCTCTTGACCAGGTCTCCCTGGAAGAAGAAACTGTGATGTCTCAAGGATAAATAAATCAGACTCTATAAGTCAGGAGTTTTCAATAATTTGCAATAAAATTCAAATATATGATAGTTTATACTTGAAATTAAGGACTTTTAGGGTGTAGTTTCTGAGCTGGTTAAAGAAATTTTGAAAGTCTTTATTAAACTTTTTTTTTTAATGTCGACCTCGTTTACTACATTGAGTTTTGAATTTAGATTAAAACACTGAAAAGATTCTTGTTTCCCAGGGATCGGCTGGCCATTGGAGCCAAGGGCTTAAAATATCGATGCAGGTATAAGTTGTTCTTTTCCGTTCAATCTTATATTGATGAAATAATTTAAAGGGGTCATATGATGCTTTTTTAAAGATCATTATTTTGTGTATTTGGTGTAACAGAATATGTTGACATGCTTTAATGTTGGCCATGTAATGTTGCTGAAATTAAATATGTTATTACCTCTGACTCTGAGTCAGAGCAGCGATCATGGAAGAGAGAACACAAGCAGACAGCGCTGGAAGCTGCTAATGCTCATCAGTAAATCAGTGGAAAAAAAATTGAAATCATGATTCTGTCTGAGCTGCGTTTAAAACGAACACGCACTCGTGTAAATGCCTAACAGATGTGTAAACTGAAGACTATTTGAGCTTTATTAAAACTATTTGCACTGATTTATTGTGTTGGTTACACTTTGTTCCTTTGTGCAGTGGCTCAGGGGATGAGTCTTTGAGATTGTATAAACATCAAGCTGAAAAATAAAACCAAAGTTTCTTTTTTTAGATAATGTAATCTTGTTAAAATTGATTTCATAAAATTGGTATCGAAAAAAGTATCGTTCAGGAACCGGTATCGAAGTCAAGGTATCGGTATCGGTATCGATATCGAACATTTTTGAACGATACCCAGCCCTACTGCTGATAATGTCATAATTTGTCATGGGGATTTTGAGGACTCTAGTTACAATTTTAGCAACAACTTTGTGTTATTTTAGCTAGAACGGTACTCGGATCACAAAGTACCACCAACAGTCAGAAGCCCTTTAACGGTTGCAGAAATAGGGTACAGTATTATAGTAGTAGCAGTATAGCAGTATATATAACTGTTCAAAGTTTATTAAAAACATTTAAAAAACACACACACATTAAATCAGCAAGGATGCATTAAATTGACCAAAAGGTGACAGCAAAACACTTCTAGAGTTACTTTCTTTTGAAATTTCTATTGAAGGAATCTTGAAAAAAATGTATCCAAGAAAGTTTTCCACAAAAATATTAAACAACTGTTATATTTCAATATTTCTGCGATGATAAGAAATATTTACGAAGCACCAAATAATATTAGAATGATTTCTGAAGGATGATGTGACACTGACGACTGGAGTAATGATGCTGAAAAAAGGAATTAATTACTTTAAAAATATATTAATAGCTACCAATTTTTATCCTCAGATGTACAAAGATGATCGGGTTGTGGTCATCAAGGACAAGTACCCAAAGGCGCAGTACCATTGGCTGGTGCTGCCGTGGGACTCTATCTCCAGTCTGAAGGCTCTGCGCTCGGAGCACGTGGAGCTGCTCAAACACATGCAGCGTGTGGGAGATCAGATGCTGCAGCAGTGCCCTGATGCTCACAAACTGAGCTTCTGTCTGGGATATCACGCCATCCCCAGCATGAGGTACTGACATCTGCGTCCTGATTGGCTGCTGAAGTGGGGAGGGCGGGGCTTGTCATGAATTAAATGTTTAGGATGTTCATTTCTTTGCAGTCACGTCCACCTACATGTAATCAGCCAAGACTTTGACTCGCCGTGTTTGAAGAACAAGAAACACTGGAATTCCTTCACTACTGACTATTTTGTGGAGTCTCAAGGTACATTATACACGAAAACAGCCTGTTACTCTAAATTAAAAATAAATGTCTTCATAATCCTTAAATCAGAATTTAATCATTTGCTCCATCACGTGGATGTAAATCATAAAAGGAATAGTTGAAAAATGAACATTTGCTGAAACTCACTCTCAGGCCATCCAAGATGTAGATGAGTTTGTTTCTTCATCAGAACAGATCTTGAGAAATGTAGCATTACATCACTTGCTCACCAGTGGATCCTCTGCAGTGAATGGGTGCCGTCAGAATGAGAGTCCAAACAGAATGTACAGATGTAAAAACATCACAATAATCCACAAGTAATCCACACAACTCCAGTCCATCAGTTAACATCTAGTGAAGTGAAAAGCTGCATGTTTGTAGGAAACAAGTCCATCATTCAGATGTTTTTCATTTCAGACTTCTTGCTAAAATACAACTCCTCTATCCATAATATTGCTTTCTCCAATGAAATAGTCATCTCGTCTGAATCAAGAGAGAAATATGAACAGATTAAGCACTGTTAACAAGCCAGAACAATTCTAAACAAATATGTGGGTGGATTTCAATGTGAGACGGGATGGACTTTTTCACTGGAGGAAGCGTTATTATGGATTATGGACTCGTATTTTGACCCGAAACAATGGTGTAAAGTTAAAATGTCTTAATGATGGATTTGTTTCTTACAAACATGCAGCTTTTCTCTTCACCAGACATGAATTGATGGACTGGAGTGGTGTGGATTATTGTGATGTTTTTTTATCAGCTGTTTGGACTCTCATTCTGACGGCACCCATTCACATCCATTGGTGAGCAAGTGATGTAATGCTACATTTCTTCAAATCTGTTCCTATGAAGAAACAAACTCACCCACATCTTTAATGGCCTGAGAGTTGAGTACAATTTCAGCAAATTTTCCTTTTTGAGTGAACTATTCCTTTAATAATTTATAAAAAAAAAAAAGCTCTACAAGCGGTTTACAGAAACAAGCATTTCCCTGAATAATAAAGGAAAGCATTCATGCTTCTCTTTCCACAGATGTCATTGCGATGCTGGCGCATGATGGGAAAGTGACGGTGAAAGAAGGCACTAGTGAATTACTGAAGCTGCCTCTGCGTTGTCACTTGTGTCATAAAGAGCAGCCGACCATACCTAAACTAAAAGAACATCTCAAAACTCACCTGCCTTCTTAAAGTCACAGTCACAGGTATTTAATCTGTTAAAAGTCTGCTAAATTACAATTCATTTTGAAAACAGCCCATTGAATCCTTTAGTAAATTGAATTTGTTCTGGATATCTCGATACATTCATTCAGACAGTCCTCACTTATTTTCATTATGAACATCGATACAGTAATGAATCAATAACATTTTGCACGTCTCTTTGGTTTTATTGAATGGAGTGATTAAAGATGGTAGTTAAAAGTAAATTGTTTTCCTTTCACACAACTTTCACACAAATGCACTTGATTGACGCTGGAGTGTAATTTCAGCACTAAATGAAATTGCACAAATAACACTTTTCAGACAATTTGTTGATTGCTGGGATAAACAGGCCACCACAGTCGTCTTGTTCTTCTCGAACAAACAGATTGCAATTCCATTTAGCGTGGTTTGTGATGTATACATTACACACTTCAGTGTATTGGCACGAGGGAAATGACAATCATTATCCTGTTCATTTAGAAGTTGAGGTCAAAATATATTTGCTTGTAACATACTGCTGCACAAAACAAAATCATCAGCGAAAATAGCAGGATCTACTCTAGAATAATAAAATGACACTCAAAGAACAACTCTGAACCTTAACTGATCTGAAAAATCTTGCTGAGGGGATCCAATAATATTGCTTACATAGAAAAACAATGACAGTTCAAGTCTCTGCAGACAGGAGTGTATTTCACATCCGTTACAGAAGAAAAAATCTTTCACAATCAAATGACAAGATAAAATACAAAATATAAAAGAAAGTGAGATTACTAAAACAGGATTTGATAGCAAAAATATCTAAAATACTAAGGCAGCTATTGCTAGTCAATAACTTCTGTATAAAATGTACTATCCTAAAAAAAAATAGAAATGCAGTTAGATAAAAAAAACTGATATTATGGCTCTGGCATTTTTATTTTAAATAACCTGCAATATTCAACCTCTAAAGTGTTTTTTCATGCAAGTTTTCAGAAAACCTGACAAGGTTTTTGGATAAAAATGTAGGAGCAGATACATTAGCTTGTAGACATCTATTGCCAGCATGTTGTGTTATATTTGTGCATGTACCCAGCTTTTCCTTGTAGTCATGATGACTGATGTCTGTCACATTATAATCCCTGAAGAGAAGCTTTTGTGCATCTCAATAGCACTTTTTTTTGGAGTGTCCGTTGATATAATACTACACTGCTCTTCATCAAGCCAGTGTACCTCCAGTCTGAAATATAATAAATGATACGAGTAAATAAATAAACAAACGTATATTTAATCCTGTGCTTGTTTTTCTGGAATTTCCAACTTCCAAAAGTCTAATAGAGTTAGTTCCTCCCTCCAAAAATGACAATTATGTTATCATTTACACATCATCATGTTGTTCCACACCTGTATTAATTTCTTTCTTCTGCTGAACATGAATGAAGATATTTTAAAGAATGTTGGTAACCAAACAGTTGACGGTAGCCATTGACTTCCATAGTATGGAGACAAAAAAAAATACTATAGAAGTCAATGTCTGCCGTCAACTGTTTGGTTACCAACATTCTTCAGAATATCTTCTTTTGTGCTCAACAGCTGTAAGAAACACATGCAGGTTTGGGACACAACATGAGGGTGAGTAAATGACGACAATTTTCATTTTTGGGTGAACTATCCCTTTAAAGGGTTAGTTCACCCAAAAATGAAAATTCTGTCATTAATTACCCACCCTCGTGTTGTTCGAAACCCGTAAGACTTTCGGAACACAATTTAAGATATTTTTGATGAAATATGAGGGCTCTCTGACCCTCCCATAGACAGCAAGGTAACTACCACGTTCAAGGTCCAGAAAAGTACCAAGATGATCGACAAAGTAGAGTAGATGCAGTAGAGACGAAAATGTGGAATAAAGTCGTTATTTTTGTTTTCTTTGCGCAAAAAAGTATTCTCGTAGCTTCGTAACTTTACAGTTGAACCACTGATGTCACACGGACTACTTTGTCGATCATCTTGGTACTTTTCAGGACCTTGAACGTGGTAGTTACCTTGCTGTCTATGGGAGGGTCAGAGAGCCCTCAGATTTCATCAAAAATATCTTAAATTGTGTTCCGAAGATGAACAAAGGTCTTACGGGTTTCGAACAACACGAGGGTGAGTAATTAATGACAGAATTTTCATTTTTGGATGAACTAACCCTTTAAGATGAGCTTACAGCTTGTGCAAAATCAAGCTTGATTGGAATGCAGCATAAAAAATGTGTTTTTGATGAGAAAATAAAACATAATTGTTCTTTTTAACTCACCATAGATTTCATTTCCCGACTCTCTCCTTCTACTTTGCTGTACCGCTCTGTCGCTCTTCTGGTATTTTCTACAAACTCCTACATGAATGATTGCAGAGACACCAAAAACATTTCATGTGCTATACAACAACACAAGACTAATATAACTGACTTTTTCACTGAGCTTGAGGTCAGAGAAAATGAATGGGAAAATCTCTCACCATAAGGGCTTTGTCCATGTAGTACTCTCTGCCCGGGCTGCCGTCGTTGTACTTGGTGTCGATGGCGAAGCAGAGGAAGAGTACGTCTACTACGATCTCAAAGATGGAGAGGAAGCAGTGGGCCACCAGGAAGGCGAAGACGCACACGATGATGAGCGGCAGCACCCAGACGGTGTATTCACGCTGATAGTTCAGCGCAAGGACGCCCGCAAATGCTGTACACGACACGATCAACACCTGCAGTCACAAGAAACACCTGTTAGTCAATTTTAGCATCACAAATATGTATTATTATACCATTTTGAAATAGATTTTTATTGTAAACTTTATTTTGTTTTCACTTTAGGAATTTTGTTGTGTGTTTTTATAGTCTATATAATTTTTATTTGCGTTTTAGCAATTTTAGTACTTTAAACAGAAATTAGAAATGCTGCCTTGGCAACTAGCAGAAATAAAATTATTTTTATATTTTATTTTACTTCAGTTAACATTTTTGTATTTTTTGGTTTAAGTTTTGGTTAACAAAAATTACTATTATAGCTTAAGTTCTATAGCACATAAATTGTCTCATGTTTGTGCTACAGACATGATACTTCAGATTAAAAAGATTAAAAATAATTTTAAATTAAGCCGTCATAAAATAACAGTAATGATTAGATAATAATAATTCGATTTAAAAAAAACAACTTGAAATATAAAAACCTAGAAAACAAATGAACTAGATTATACATGCTGCCTTACTAATTAACTGCAATAAAGTATACATTTGAAGTACTAAAATTACTAAAACTGAAAATGAAATAAAAATGTATTAAAGCTACATAGAAATATATAAAGAAAACTAATAAAAATGAAAAAGAACATACAATTACTAAAACTAAAATTACAATGAAAATTTAAAAATAAAAGCTCAATAAAAAAAGTATGAACAAATACTATAAATAGTATAGAGATATTACTAAAGTAACACTGAATTCTCAACAGTATAAAGGGTAGTTGAATAAATACCTTTCCTAAAAACAGCACAAAGTCCCCGACACTGTTGATAGCTGCCACACGGAGAGCGTTTTCCGCGAGGATGAAGAAAGCGTCTCGCGCAGACGTGCAGAAGTTGGTGCTGTTGATGGCCGTTGCCGTATATGCGTTCTGAAGAAAAGACACATGATTAATGCATCGAATTAAAACAAACAAATTCATATATTTGTGCCATATACATGACTCACCATGTTCAGGTAAGCGAGGCACTTTTCTAGACACCACAGACAGCAGATACACGCCTTCAGCACGCAGCGCGCACAGGCGTTTTCCTACAGCAACAAAACAGGGCTCAATTTTAAGAGTGCCGTTACACTGCCGTTCAAAAGTTTCAGCTCTATAATTCATCAAGGATGTATTAAATCAAAAGCGAAAAAGACATAAAAGATCTAAAAAAATCTGTTCAGACATGAAGATCAGCTGAAAGTGACTGACTCTTCCTTTGAGCTGACTGTGGATGTAGGTGAGGATGAGGCGGGGAATCTCCACTAGAGTGATGATGAAGGCTCCTTTAACCACGGTGCCCAGATGATAGCGCATCAGACGCAGCACAGACGACACTATGGGCGTGAAGGGCATCTGAGACTTATCTCTACAATCAGACAAGGAAATAGAGTAAAAATCCCAACTGTGGTCCTTTATAGACAGATGGATGGAAGCACTGACCTGGTGAAGTAGTATGTGACGACAGCTCCGGCTACGGTCATCTGCTGACAGGCGAGGATGAACTCACTGATCCAGATGAGGCCGACGGCGTGGTACCACACCATGTACTGCAGCGGCCCGTCCATCCGGAACTCCACCAGACCCGTCTGGTTATTCTGCACTGGACTTCCTGTGGGGGAAAGCTGATCTCTGAAACGCTGTTCCTGGTGAAACACTCAAATATAATACTAAAACATCTGATTAAGGCTAGAAAATATATTGAATATTTATGATTGATTTATGACAATATTCCTAATAAAAATAGGCATTTTGTGAATACAGTAATCATTTTTATTTGTATGAGAGAAAGAAACATGTTTTAATAGCATTTCAGATTAAAATTTCAGCAAAATGCCATTAGGTGTTTGATTAATTTGTCTGTTCCAATAAATACATTTTTATAGATTAATAAGTAAATTATAAAAGAAAAATGTGTGTATATATATATAAAAACTTACAAACACACACACACACACACAAAAAAAAAATAAAATAAAAATAAACATAAATAAATAAATAAATAAATAATA